TGAGATGGCTTTGGCTCTGAAAGGCATTCAGGTTAGCCTCAGCTAACTGGCCAGGGTAGTTATAGATGAAAGGTTTGCCTTGGACATTCTCCTTTCCTGCCAAAGCTGAGTCTGTGCAATTTCTAATACTTCTTGCTGTACCTGGATTAGTGCCTTGGGTCATGTGGAAAGGTCAATAAAGAAAGCTACCTGACTTTCTAAGGCAGTCCCTGGTGGGTTATAGGATTTGTTCAGCTGTTTGTGTCTGGAACCCTTGAGCAGATTGAACGGTTGAGTTCAATACTCCTGTTGCTGCTCAGGGTCCTATTGTTAGTAGCCTTAATTAAATGCTTTATAGGACAAATTGAGTGGATTTAGTCCCAGCCTGTGTCAGTCAGGTTAATCAGGAGTGGTTGATAGGATGGTGTAACCATGGGAAAAATGCTTCAAAAGTTAAGATGCTATAGAAAAGAGTTAGATGTTGTTAAGACATGGTTTTCCATGGGTTTCTCATACTTATGCATTCTTATAAGGAGAGGCACTCACAGAATACATTTTTTAGGGATATTTGTATAGTGAACAGACTTGGAAGATACAGTGTCTCCCTCCAGAATGAACAGCTAGTATGCTTACTGCTCAAAAGTTTATATTCTACTTGCACTGTATATGCAGGGCTTGTCTACTGTAACACAACCCAGAGTGTGTGCAAACATTACCTGGCTCTTTGTGTTGACCTATGGGAACTCAGGGAACTGGCACAAAAAAGTGCTGTCACTCTGGCTACTGTTATAGGTGTAAGAATGTTTTTGCGTGTGTCTTGTGTCTTATTCTATAATACACAAAACTGTGGTAACTAACAGCTTGCAGATGGGGTAAATTTTTAGACACTTCACACACACTTCTTCATAGACACATTATTTTTGAAGTTATAAAATAATATTAATGTGGTGTTAAAGCTAATTTTCAGAGAGAGGATTCAATTCCACAAACATTTAAGACTAGGTAATAAAATCTCATTTTTACTGAAATTTAGCTCCATAAAATGCATTGCTATTTAAAATCTGAACATGTGCCAAGCTATCAGTCAACACTGTATAACACCAGTATAATTAGGTAGAAGTGCTAAATAAATTGTGTATAATCTGTGTCGCAGAATCCTAAATCATTCTAATGGAAAATGGATTATACTGACAACATGTAAATACAAAAGAACAGTGGTCTCCAAGGAAAATATCAGTAGCACATCAGAATCTGTTAATTTGTTGAAGAAGTAACATCAGAGAGCAGGAACCAAACCAAATAACCAGAAAATGCATGCCCTACTTTTTTTTTTTTTTTTCCTGAGACAAGGTCTTATTCTGTTGCCTGAGCTAGAGTGCAGTGGTATCATCATAGCTCACAGCAACCTCAAGTTCCTGGGCTCAAGCGATGCTCCAGGGTTAGCTTCCAGAGTAGCTGGGACCACAGGTGTGCACCAACTCACCTAGCTAGTTTTTTGTAGAGGCAGGGTCTTGCTATTGCCCACTTTTTAGCAATGCAAATATTGCCAAAGTTGTAATGATAGAACTTACCTTAACCAACTTGTGAATATCATGTTCCTCTAAGGTTTGGGAGACCAAATGTAACTCAATATAAAATTTCATAATAGATCTGATTGTAACTAAGATGAGCATTTTTACAGAGATTAACAAAATATAGATAATATTCATAAAGGGCATAGAACATTAGCTGGACCTTGATGGAAGTGCAAATAGAAAAGAAATTTGGATAAATTGGCAACTTTGAAAAAGAAAGGAAATGTCAAGGAAATTTAAAAGGTTAGACTTTTTTTTTTTTTAATTCTCGAATGGCAAAGAAAAGTATCATTTTATGTGAAATGAATTACAGATAGAGAAAGCAGATGATCATGGATGATTTGGTCAAATTTACCCTTACTTTAAAGAGAAAAGAATTATAGCCCAAATAGGTTAATTTGTTTGAGATTCCATAGACAATAGTAAAAATGGGAACGTATCTGTTTAGGAAGTTATAAGGAAACCAGTCTAGACCTCTCTTTCAAAACTATCCATGCTCACTTATATTCAGACATCTAATAAAATGCTAGTAGCCTTAAAAAAATAGCTCTTAGTATTTAAGAGAATTATCTTCAGTAACACCAACCATGCATGTGTGCATGCACACACATGTTAAGGGAAGCTTAGTGGGGAAAATTTTATGTTTCAGGCAAAATCTTGTTTAAATCTTGGTTCTGCCACTTTCTTGTGGTATGGGCTTAGCCAAGCTATTTAATTTTTCTAACCGAGTTTTCATCCGTAAAACACTATATGCCTTTCTGACTGTAGGATCCATTGAGAAAATATTTTTCTTACAAAGCATTTTTGGCAGAGCCGGCAGGGTGATTTTCTTAAAGTGAATACCTGACCATGTCACATTCCAGTGATTTCTAAACACTTTACCAACCTGAGAGGTGGTATATGACCTGGACCTTGCATTCCTCTCTAACCTCTCCTTGTGTCACTCTGCCTCCCCTCTGTGCTCCAACTGTTCCAGTGTTCTCCCTGCCCCAATAAGGGATCAAGCTCACAGCTACTTTAGATGCTGCTGTTTTCTCCATTGGGAATGTTTTTCCTTTTCCTTCTGATTTTCAAATGCCTACTTCTTATCATTTTTAGCTCAAGTGACACCTTTAGAAAGGCTTTCCCCACCCACCTAATGTAAAGTAGCTGCCTCCTGCAACTAGTTATTATATTAATCTTTAAAATAAAACATAGCATTTATCAGTACCTACAATTCTTATTTATTTGTATATTTGTTTATTGTCTATAGACTAGGAAACTTCTATTGTCCATTTTTCAGAATTTAGAGAAATTGGCATTTGGTAAGCATTCAATAAATACTGTTGAATAAGAGAATAAATTAATTTTTATTACCAGAATTATGCATTCAATGTGGAAAATTGGGAGAAAAGATATAGAAAATAACCAATAAAGCTGTATAACCTGGATAACATATATAACATTTTGGTTATTTTAACATATGTTACCTTAGTAGATTATTCATTTATATATTATTATTATTGTTTAAAAATAAAAATTGATTTAAAAAAAATGAACACTATGATACTTCCTACTTGCAGATATGGCTCTGGAATTGTGTTATTCATTTGAATAATTCATTCTTCACTTTATACCAAGTAATAATCAGAGCAGTTATACCATGCCAGCTAACTAATACATAAACAACTACTGATGCCCAGAACAACATGCCAGATCTTGCCTTTTATTTTAAGCCTATTTGGATAGTCCTTTGACTAAAATATAATGGCATCGAAATGTGATTAATAACTTCTTAATAATGACAAAATTAATGACGATCTTAATTATTTAATCATCTTTTTTGATGGAATTCTTTCTTTTATAAAGCAGTATTTCCTTGTGTAGTGACATGTCTCAGCCTCCTTTATTTTCAGCAGAATCATAATTATTGTCTATATTGTAATAAAGAGATAAATGAGGCTAATGAGTTCTTTTAGAACAGGCTTTATGGAATGGTTACATCTTAATGGAGTGATTAAAGATATTTTTCTCAACTTTGTAGCTTCAGAAATTCAATTTTATTATCCAGCCAATAGGAACCAGGCTCTGGAAAATTGATTCACACTAACCAAACACATTAGACTGATTTGTAAATGATAATACTTTATTTATTTATAAAAGAGATAGATATTTCTTTACTAGAATACAGTTACCTATAAGACCTATGAGGAAAGAAACTATGCCTGTTAGGTTCATTATTATATCCCTAGAGCTTAGAAAATTAATTTTTAATTACTTCACTAATAATTATTTAGTTTATTCTTAACGGTTCTTGATATCAAGTCATTTGGGAGATTACATGAGTAATCAGTATTGCTGAAAGATTTTTAAATGACTGCTTAGAGAATACTTAGTAATATTTGTGTTTGGTTTAATGTGCAATTTACTAATCTTATGGCTTTAGTTAATAGTTAGCATTTCCTTACAGTTAAACAATCAGCTCTTCTCAAAAGATCCACATTAAGTCTTACATACCAATAATATGAAATATGTATTAAATAAATTTTTGATGACCTTTAAAGGTTGGTTTAAATTTCGTATAAGCAAATTCTTCCGCATGTATAATTAAAATACTAACCCTAACATACCAATATATCGTAAATGCTTTAATCACTTTTATTTTTTCCTTTTATAAATGTGTTTATTTTTTTGTGATTCTATGAAATTTTAAAATTCACAAATAAAAATTTTATCAATTTATAATATGCAATGTGGTTTTTTGATGTATGTATATACTGTGAAATAATTAAATCATATCCATTTTATTGGATAAGATAAATAATGATAAATTATTTCTGTTTGGTTATCATTCCACTTAATTAACTATCACCTCACATACTTACCATGTTTTTGTGGTGAAAACATTTTACTCTTTTAGCAATTTTCAAGTATGTAATACATTATTATTAACAAGTCACCCTAATGTACAGCAGATCTCTGTAACTTATTTAGCCTGTCTGACTGAAACTTTGTACTCTTTGCCAACATCTCCCTATTCCACACAAACCTAAGCCTCTGGTAACCACCATTTTCCTTTCTGCTTCTGTGAGTTCAACACTTTTAGATTTCCACGTGTAAGTGAGATCATGCAGTATTTGTCTTTCTGTGCCTAACTTATCTCACTTAACAAAATGTCCTCCACATTCATTCATGTTGTTGAAAATGACAGTGTTTCATTCTTTTAGCCACATTTAAAAAAGAAAATTGTGCATATTACAATGATGCCAAACCAAATCTATTGCTTCTTGGAATTTTTTATTGGACTGATAATTTTAAAGCCCGAAAAAATTAAACAATTTCTGGGATTCAGTTGATACTTTTCATTTCTGATCTTGAGTTCTCTCTGCTTCATGGCTTCTGCATGTAAATATTTTCTTAGTTCTTCAGTGTTTTCATTGCTAACTATTGGTTTTGCTTTTCCTTCAGGATGTTTTGAATAATTTGGGTTCTTGTGAACTGGATGAAGATGATCTAATGCTTGATCTAGAATTTTTAGAGGAACAGAATCTTCATCCTCCGGGTAAGTGTTGAAGAAATGCATAATATCCTATAACTCTGATTTTAGTCAATCAGCTTTCATTGATAAGCTGAATACTGAGGCTGTCTGCAATCTTTTCAGTTCTCAGTTTTTATAGTCTATGTACCAGAAACATGCTAGGTACCCTGGATACATGATTCTGGTGTCTTAAGTAATTTTAAAGTCCATTATGGAAATATAAATCCAGTTGGAAGATAATTATAAAATCAAAAGCCATAAAACAAGAATCTTTCCAAAGAAGGAAATATTCTAATTGAATACTTAATAATAAAAAAGTTCACATTTTCTTTTTTTGTGCAAGAAAACAATGATTACAATGTCATTATTCATTTATTTTATATAATCAAATGTAAGTTTTGTAGATCTAGATTTACTGTTCCAAATCTTAGCCACTTCAATAATAACTACATAGGTTAATGTTGATGCAATAAAGTTGACCTCTAAACTAATAATTACCAATAGCAACCATATAAACATACACAAGTAGAGTTATAGTATGAAATAAACAAATTTGTGTTAATGAATTAATAAGGGAGCTCAGTATATTTGTAATAGTTTAAATATATATTAAAGTATATAATAAAAGTATACTAATATAATAAATATAATATAATATATAATATATAAATAAATATTATATTATATTTATTATATTAGTATATTTATTATATTTAATATATATTAAAGTATATAATAAAAGTATACTAATATAATAAATATAATATAATATATAATATAATAATATATATTATATTATATTTATTATATTAGTATACTTTTATTATATACTTTAATATATATTAAATATAATAAATATACTAATATAATAAAGTATATTAATATAAATCTATATTAAAGTATAAAATGTCATGTCTCCAAATTCCAGAATGACTCTTTTTGAAGTACATTATAGGAATTATTTGTTCATTCAAATTTAGATATTTGTCAGCAAAGGTAGTCTTTTACACTTAGTTTTTTGTTGCTAATAATGCCTTCAGCACAGTCATTTTCAAGTAGAAATAGCATTGAACTAGACCTACAGCATAAATTGAAGAAAATCACCCTCATGGGTCTTAGTGTTCTTATTTTTAACTTATAGAAATTAGACATAATTTCTACAGTTATTTTCAGCTTTAACATTTTATGATGAATTTTTGTTTATACAGTATGTCATAGATAATATCATATTAGCAATTGTCAGAATCAGACAATAATGATATTTATATTTTCTTACACTTTATTTTAGTCTAATGTCTAGTGAGAACTTGCCTTTTAAATATTTTTAGTAGAATAACAATTTAGGATAAAAATTTCTTAGGACATTCTTCCTGTAGTTGATTTGACAGATATTCTTTTAAAAATGTAGGTTTTTCTCATTTTTATGCAAATAGCTTCTGCAAGTATGTCATTCATGTATATTTGTCTTAAAAGAGTTATACCTGCTTATACATACTAGGAATGTGAACAGGTATACCCCTTGAAGGTAAATTTGTCAATATCTAGAAAACAATTTACCTTTAGATTCAACAATCCAACTTCTAGATATCTAAGCCTATGATACTGGCAAAATACAAAATAGTGTATGTTTATATATAACTATTAATTGCAAAATAGTAGTAATAGTAAAGTATTGGAAACACTTCAAATATTCATCCATAGGATGCAATGAATATATAATGGTGTATTAAGCAGTCATAAAAGGAATGAGGAAGGTGTCAACATCTGCCATGGTGTGATTGTAAGGATATATTTTTGATGGAGAACTTTACAAAGATGGAATGGACTGGGAATATCTAAACTCACTGATCGATCTCCTAGTAGCAGTAAAAGTGTAATAAATAGGTATTTAGTTCCTCCTGATGCAACGCTGAGTGAAATACACAGCACCACCTCTGAAGTGTTCTTGCCCCCTACCCCCCCACCTCTTTCCTACAAGTCCTAAAATCCACTCAAGTAGATTGAACTTTGATTTTATAGGAAATATAAGTGGGCTGAGAGAAAATATGAAATGGCATGCAAGATTCCTGGCAACCAAATATAAGATGCAGACAATTCTATAGGAAAAGTGGTCTGGTTTCTTCAACAGATTAAATGACGTGGTCAGAGGATACAAACTTGCAGTTATAAAATGAACAACATGAGTGGCAATGGATGTGTTAATTTGTGGTAATCATGGTACTATATATATATATATATATATATGTATATATATATATATAAAATAATCACATTGTACACATTGACTATGTTCAGTCTTTATTTGTCAATTAAATATTTTAAAATAAGAAACTTATTTTTAAAAAGTTGATGGAAAGGAAAACTGAATTCCTGTAATGAGACAGGTTCTTTTTCTATACCATCTCAAGTTAATCCTCACAATAACTCTCTAAGAGAATATTCACCTTAAAAATCCATTCAAAATAAGCTTTGAGTTAATATTAAAAAGAGAGCAGGCACTTTAAAAACAGACACACCCAAGTTAGAATTCCACTTCTGCCACAATTGCCTTGGACAAATTATCTCTTTGAGCCCAGTTTCCTCTTTTGTAAAATAGAAATAACTATATCTATCGCAAAATACCATCCTATTTAATTGGGTGACATATTTGTATGCAAAGTTCCTTTCATAGTTGCCTACATTAGAGTCGTAGCCCAGTACACATTGGCTACTTCTTGAAATTTTTGACAGTTTTAATTCCCTGCTAAAGACATTGTCCTATCATTGGTTACTTTTCATACTCATTAATTTCTGAATGATTCGTCACTGTTATAAATTATTTTTAAATGTACTTTCTTATCTAAATTGTATTCAAATTATGTCAAACATTTTAAGTGATGATTTACTAGTACTAAATATTCAAGAAGTACTTTTCTTTGTGTCAAGCCAATACATTTAAATTCATGAAAACATCTTTTCTCTGGATATTACTCAAATGTCCAAAATACCACAACATATTTAAAATGGAAATCTGAGAAAGAATAAATTCCTATTTTAAATACATTAAAACTCATTAACCCAAATTATTAATGTTCTAAAAGGGAAGGCTAGGCTGTTACTTTGGATTAACTTTGATCTTTACAATTTGCAGATGAGTTATTTATTTGAAAATATATTTTACATATTTAGTGTTATTTGATAAAAAGAATGTAAAGGCATTTGTATGATAGAGTGAAGGAATTTTATTTTTTTGTTATTTATTTCAGATGTTAGATCTAAAAACACCTAGGGCAGTATCTCTTGGTATATGTCCAAATCCAAATGGGGGAGTAATGGCCCAATGATATCCATTAGGAATTAATTAGGTAGTTGCTAAATTATTTTGAGTTTGATGAACAAGCAGTACAAAAATCTGCAGTGAGTTAGGAACTCCTCCTGTGCCTATTAATTAAGGAGGTAATTTTTGTTATTAATTTTTAATGGATAATAGCACAGCAGAGCTGAGACGAAACCCTAGTGGTTTTGCTAATATGAATGGTAATGTACAAAGAATTGCAACAACATTCACACAGGGAAAATTATAAAAATCAACTGTAAGTTTCTACAAGCTCTGATATGTCTGGGTCAGAAGAAATGTGTGTAAGATAGCTTCAATCTGATTGTATAAAGCTAAGAAACATGCCAATTAATTTTGGAAGCATAGGGATAGTGGTTAAAAATAAAGACTCCAGGCTTATATCTCAGCCACCAAGCAGGCTATATAAACTTGAGCAAATTATTTAATTTTTTCTAACTTTCCTTTCTTTATCTGATAATGCAGGTAATGATAGTATCTACATCATAAGTTTGTTGGAGGAATAATAACACATAGTAGACTACTCAGTCTCTTGTCTGGAATATAATATGTTTTTAAGGACTATAGCTAATACCACTTAAAATATAAACATAGTAAAATATGATGTACCTGAGGATCAATAAGAATCTGATCCTGACAAGGTTAGTGACCTTTCTAGTCTATGTTGAAGATCTAAAAATGAATCACATTTTAAGCATAGAATTTCTCCACTTTTGAGAATAGAATGTCACAACACATGCAATTAATTTTGTGTCATTTATTTCTAAGCTTATAAAGTTATAGCATAAAATAAAATAATAGAATAATAAATAATATTTTTTGAGTTTAGGTACCAATTAATGAAGTAAATAATGTTGCTTTCTCATTTGAAAAATATGGAGATTTGACTGATAAACTATTACAGACAGTAAGTAGATGGCCCAACTGGACTCAAAGTATTTCTGACTCTGAGGCTCTGCGATTAATAATTATGATTCTCTTGACTAATAAAAATAATTCATATAAAATTTTAAAATCATAGGTACACTGAAGCTTTTGTTTCAGACTGGTCTTTTTCTATTAGTTTTTTAGTTACGGACATCATTTAATATATGTTTACTTTTGACTTGATCCAAAGAAGCTGGGATTAACTAACTTACTTATTTGACGAAGCATCTGCATTGTGACAAGCACTGGTCTAGGCACTTAGTTGATTCTTTTCTTGCTTTCTTTTTAAGCTATTGTTTATAAGCATTTTGGATTATCTCATTCAATCCTTAGAGCAACTCTCTCAGGAAGTTTTACTGTCCACTCTTTATAGATAAATAAATGGCAACTCAGAAAAGCATTTTTATTTTCCCAGGATTGCAGATCTACTAAGTGGGAGAACTAGGGTTTAAATTATGCCTTTGTGACTCTGGTTGGTACCTACTTACCATTACAAGTATACACAGCTCTCAATGACGTTTAGTTACTAGAAGGAGCAGTTGTAATAGCTGTGCAAATGTTCTCTTACCATGTACTATTTTGATAGTACTATAGTAAGGATTCAATTGTGACATTAGTTGTCAATTTGTGTGTTTCATCAGCTAGTTCTAGTACTCTTTTCATTTCTGCTTTAGAAGGGTTAGGGTGCCTGTTATGGGCTTGGTTGCCATTAGATGGCAATCTTGCTCTGATAATGATGATAGCAACGCTGTCATAAATTTGT